TCTGATGTGTCCTCTCTGTGATGCAATACAAATGATGAATAATACTGGACAGAAATGTTACTTTTGAACCTTTAATTTTTTTTAATGCTTTCAGCACTACAGATAGAATTCCATTCACCTTCACTGTTTCGAGGTGGAAGCAGCAATCTCAGAGACAGATATGTATATAACTGGGGAAGATAAAACCAAATCTATCTGCATGGATGGATACCGTTAAAGAATGAAATGTGCTTTTGGGTGAACTGGTCCTTTAGTGAGTGACTCTCTATTATTTGATTTGATTATTTAACATGGTGCACATGCTGACAAGCCAGCAATTAGTTTTTAGCAAATTTTCACTTTCTATTAAATCTTGAAATGTGGACATAAAAGTAGAGTCAACTGTCCCTTATTGGCGCCTGTAGCTAAAAATAGCCCATCATTGGCAGTACTCTAAATCCAGCCAGGCTAATTAAGGCCATTACATTTTGTGTGCAGGGAATATGTCACGTTTTTGTGCCTAAGTGGGGCTGCAAAATCAGCACTTATTGATCACAGATTTGCAGAATTGACTGAGGTGTGGGCCCAGCTCCATTGATCTTTGCATTTTTTCCTGTCTCCTTAAAATTCATTTTCACTTCGCAATTTGCACTCAGCTACACATGGTGGTGAGCATGAAAACAATGTCTACCTCATACACTTACAACCTCCAGGGATATGTATGTTCAAGCCAATGTTATTTTGTGCTTCATTAAATGTAGATAAGGCAGAATTATTGATACTTCATTGATGGATGATTTGCTTTGTACACTATAAGCAAAGATGCAGGTTCGACACCAGGGATAACTTTGTTCCCTCTCCGCCTCGCTCTGCTCTTAAATAGGAATTTAAAAATTCACAGACGGAAATGGAGACAAGTAGTAGGAAAGCCTATTGGCGGTTTTGAATTATTTATTTGGCTTAGATGTCGGTGCCCTGGGTAGTAGCTCAGCAGAATACTTATCAAAATGATTCAGTGTTGTGATTCAGTTCCCTCCAGTTCAAAAACATAATCTTCAGTTTTTGTCTAAAGACATTATGTAGCAGCAGAAGCAACAGTTGCTGAACGAAGTTGTCCACCACTGCTCAACATCATTTCAGGCTCATGCTGTGGTAACTCCTACCCACATCGTCGGTGCATATATCGCTTGCTCTGTTCTTTCAGTTTATCTTGGGTACTTAGCGCATGAGCAATGAGCCTGTGTTCCTTAACTGGGTGGTCTGATTGATCACCTCAGCTAAACGCCCTGGCCTATAAATCAGTACCTCGCCCCACTCAGCCCGTTAATCACGTCCGCCAACAAAGGCAACGAGACAATTAAAGAAACATGGTTAGGCCTTAAAAAATATGCTCCTTTAATTGCCACAGCAGTTTATTAGGGACTTGGGCAAGCTCAACTTAAGCCTCCATAAACCCTGAGATTTAGGAGGCAAGGAGCTTGCTGGGAGGGGGGCTTAGTGTGACCTGGAGGGAAGATGGGGTGATGGGCAGCATTTAATTTGTCCAAAGGACATGTATACATCTGTTCTTTGCTTTTTGCAGTTTGATTCCACTTATCATAATTGCTTCGGAGCATGCTACTTATCCCTCCTCTTTAAATCTGAGTTATTTCACAGCCTATATTGATAAAAAACAAAATATTCTTTCTAAAATGTTTTATTATAAATTATCTATAAATTAATCAGGATAATGTTGATAAAACTTAATGACTATTCCAAGAGTCCATATGGAACATATCTTTGGCCAGTGAGGCAATATTACTTTGCCTATGCTTTTGTCACGTCATGATTAGTTTCACTCCACGTTGAACCCAGGAGACAGCGGTTTGTGTCCTGTGTGAAACAAAATGTCAACAGTTTCTTTTAGGTAACATATGTAATTTAGTAACGTCAGGTATGTTACATTAGTTCATTTTATCCATGCATGGAACTTAAACTCTTTTCTCAATCTTAAACAAGTCATCCTTAAAAGTCCAGTGTGTAACATTTAAGAGGATATATTGGCAGAATTTCATATAGGTATGTTTCCATTAGTGTGTAATCTGAATAACAGAGTCGTTGCTTTTATTTTTCCTTAGAATGAGCCATTTACACAGCCGGTTTTCTCCACACCCAGCGGCATTCTAAAAATACCATATTGGCTCAAATAAAATTTTTTTTGGTATTATACTTATTCACAACAACATATATTTTTAACGTCTCCTACAAATACGTATTGTTGAGTGTCTTCAAGTCTGTTTATAGTGAGTCTGTTGTACTCAATCAGCACTAAAAGATTAGGAAGCCTAGTTTAACCTAGGGGAATCATGAACCCCTGGCTTATTTAACGTGTTTAACAGACCTGTCTCACAATGTCAACTGCAGAAACAGACCAGCCGATAACTGCCTGTGTCATAGATGATGTGGAACGAAAAGAAAAAAAAAAAACTGTCAGAGAAAATCGCTTTGACCGCTTCCAATAGCCTGACAGGAGCGAATGAGTTAGTGAATGACTGAGAAGCTGCACAAAAGTGGAACTTATGTTATACCTTAATGGAAGTAACTGTTACATCTAATAATCGGGGTAATCTAATGCTCTGGCCAGTAGATGTTCTTTGGTGTTTTCATTTTGCTCACTTCACTTTTTTTGAGTAATGTATAATATGTATTTATGTATGTATGCAGAAAATAAAATGTTTTCACTTCACCTTCACTCAACCTCAATTAACTTAATTGTATTTCCTTTTATTTAAATATCTAATATGTTTCTTTTAATAATCAAATGTCTGTAAACTCTTGTCCCAAATGTTTCCAACAATGTTAAAACTCAGAGAATTCAGGATACGGGGGCGTTTCCTTGCTTGTCTCTAGTTGCTATAATTTCCGGACAAACACGGGATGCGTTGGATACATCGGAGAGTGAGGAAGGAAGTCGGCGAATATGACTACATATAACATGAATAAAACTTTAATATGACCTCATCCGTGAAAGATTTCTGCCTGAGTCACGTCGATAGTTTCATCACCAATTGTGGTTGTTTAACAATGAAGGCAAAAACTCCTATGATCCCATACTACTTCACACCGTCATCTTTGGTTATTATTTTGATATAAGCAACTCCCTAGTGGCAAAAATGACATACTATATGTTTACTGTATGTATGCATCCATGCATGTATTTGTCATGCATCTTATGTATCTCTCATATTTAGTCCTGGCCAATATACCCAACTAGGGATGTTCGATAATATCGGCCCTTTTATAACCGATGTTTGTTCTGTAGGCTTCAGCATTTCCGAGCCTGCATGAACGCAGCATGGGACGTTTACTGGCCTGCGCTAGATGACGTATAACAACAACAACTACACGCTAGACTGGTTGGTTGCTAACCGTGGCTAACAAGCAAACAATTTAAAGCTAAATGATTTTAATATTAACACAAAATAAGTGCAATGCACCTTAAATATTTGACCCTGCTATGAGCTGTTACTTAACCAAACTAACAATTGGCTTAGACTTTACATTAGCACTCCTTCAGGTGAATAATACAATTAAACACATTAACCAAAGCTCGCGCTTAGCTAGCGATGAGCGCGTAGCTAGCGATTAGCGTCAGCGCTCTTTTCAGTATTAATACAATGAAAGTTGAAGTTGTTCTCTTATTTTGCACAGACAGTGTTTAGATTTGGAAAGCCATGTTGCATTTATGTATGCATCCAGTGGGACATAACAATAAAATCAGGCATAATGTGTTAATTCCACAATAGGAGAGATGTTATGTTGTTACTTTAACAGTTTTGGTGTAAAAAGCCTGCATATATCGGTATCGGGTGATATCGGTATCGGAAATTGAGAGTTGGACAATATCGGAATATCGGATATCGGCAGAAAAGCCAATATCGAGCATCCCTATACACAACACCAATTAGCACTGGATTATGATATGGATTTATTGTATGTCCAAACCCTGTGAGCTCAACTCTTCCAAAGAAAAAAAGTGTGAATATTATGTGTAAAATGACTCTATACTGTTTAATACAAGCATCGTCACATTCCTCCTGTACACCAACAGAAACTGTTACTGTGACTGCGCACTGGCTACACTGGACAGTCTGTTCTCTGTTTCTGAGAAATCCAATCCTTTTATCCGTCATTACCGGAGGGGAAAAAAACACCTACTTGGGGAGTTAAAATTAACTCTTTGAAAATCCAGCATCATCCCTCCTGTCTTGATCTACATCACAAATTGGCCCTCTTATGATCTGCATGAGAAAAGCAGGCGCGGGATGATGTGGAGATGGCCTGCTCCAGCCAGGCCTGTGGGCCTGATGAAAGCACCGCCACCTTTGATGTTATGACAAGGACTGATGAGTACTTCACACCGTGTCTTCTCTTGATCTCATGCATTTGCGGCCTGCGTGTATGTGGCCGTGTATTTTTAGAAAGTAATTGTAACCTCATGCATAAAGTATAAACTCGCATACACATTAACTAGTCATTATGCATAGGTTATATGAGTCTATAGAACATGATTGTAAGCTTTTCGTTGTGTGTGTATAATGTATAAAGAAATTTGTCAAGAGCCTGTGCAAACAGAAACACCATCTCATATAGTGTGATTTGAGGTTTTGAGTAGGGTTTGCATGATATTGCAATTATTTTGAAAGATATTGCGATATGATTCATGAGTAGTGTGGGACTGATTAATTATGCATCACAAATATTATTTTCACTGAAAAAACAATTAAAATCATGATGGTATGAATTTTTTGGGGTCAGTACCAAACAAACATTGGCTCATTACATGTGGAGATTTGTAGGTTAGGGCATCTCTTCATAACTACAGAACTTCATTATGCCGTTTTGTCATGTCAATGATTGCAGCTTCTGCGATTTCCATATTGTGATTTTGATGATATTTCGATTAATTGTGCAGCCCTAGTTTTGAGTGGCCGAGAGGTTTTGGTTCTACACTCAGTTCTCATGTCTGTGTCTGTCCACAGCACCCGCCAGTGTCATCTGCTGCTCGACATCTTCAACCCAACAGAGCATGAGCTTACCGTCAGTGCCAAGAACAACCAGGACCTGGTTCTCCATGCCAGCGAGTGCCAGAGGTGAGTAGAAGGTTCCTGTTTCTAAGTACAGAAAGATACAGTCTTACCATGTCCCACATGGTGATGACTCAAAGTAAAATGTCTCAGGTTTCAAGTTTGTTTAGTTTCCTTTCTCCCAGCCTTCTTAATTCAGTTCTTTCCAGCAAAACGGGTAACAAAAATGATCAAGCATTGCTTTCTCTTTCTTCATTAAAGCAACATGCTGGTATTATCTCGTGTTTTCACCCACGACATAGCAGGTACACTTTACTGCTCTCAGACCAAAACACAGAAATGAAATACAATTCACCAAAACTGACTTTTCACAGTCTGCAATGGCTGCAACCAAAGCTAAGGTTAATCCTTGGGGACAATGTGTCCCTCAAATTACGTCCACTTAAGGTGCTTGTTTTTGCCACTGGCAGGCTCAGATTGTTATTCTAAATGTCTGACAACATAATGGAAAGGATCCCTACAGACATAGCCCTTTTGGTTAACCAGACACGGATCACTAATATTGCTATCACTCGCCATCAGACTCCAGAGAGTCTGATAAGTTTTTTGGCTTTTATTGCCTTTATTTGATAGGACAGGTGAAGACAGACAGGAAAGGGGGACAGAGAGAGAGAGGGGATGACACGTAGCAAAGGGCCACAGGTTTTATCATTGTATTTATTTATCATTGTAACATCATAACTGCATTCAAAATGGACAGAAACAAAATAAAATTCACTATCTTTGTTAGTCTTTCAACTGTTCCAACAATCACCAACTTCAGTTTGCTCCAAACAAATCTTTAATCCACCAAAGTAGATGATAAAAACAGCAGTTTCAGTCGCTCTCCTCAGCTGCACACGGAGCAGACCGGCTATGGAAACAAATACACACACACACACACACACACACACACACACACACACACACACACACACACACACACACACACACAGAGGGTGCGATAGCAACGCAGGCAGAGGGAGTGTGACATCATTCTCTGCTCACGACACTCCACTGTATCTTTACATAGCAAACAGTTGTTTGCTGCCATAGTTTAAATCTCATATGTATATAACCTTTAGGTTTATGTAATGACATCCTGCCTTCCAGGCACCCAGAATGTGGATTGGAGCTGAGCAAGTGTCACCTCTTAAATTTACTTCTTTATAAGTTTGTCTATTTACCTGTTTATGGGCATCATCTGTGGGCTTATTGCAGATAGGATCGGGGTAGGGGCCGATCAAAATATTTTCAATGGATCGAGATTTGCCCAGTCCATTTGTGATTCTTTGTTTATGCTAACCTGTTGCAATCTGGGTAAAAAAAAAATTACATTAAAATACTGGAACCTATTCTTATGTAAGCATAGTCAACCAAACAAATTCATTAACATCTGTTTCTATTAATAATATAAATAAAGACAATGGTCATCAGCATGTAATGTGAGCTTGGCTGAGAGTATCAGGGTCAGGCATATGAAACAAATAGAGACTATGTAGCTGTATCATGTATGAAAATCGAATCACATTGAACTGGGTGTCATCAGATAGTTACTAAATGTTAAATAACTCTGATCAGGAGTTGGGGTAAAAAACATGATTATGACATCTCTTGAGTTTAAGCCTTGAAAGATTGAAATGTATCCCTGCATTGAAACAGCAGACTTATGAGCATCATATTCATTATAAATTGAAGGCAAACTGTGTTAAGACTCAACCAGGTAAGTGTGACAGCTTACATGCTCTAAAAGACACAGATGTTTTGTTTTTTTTCTGTAAAGTTGCATTGGACAGCTTTACCCCCAACATCTGTCATTATGGAGTTTTGTTTCTTTGAGTTGGGTTTGTCTTCACTATTATGTAATGAGCTGCTAATTCACCTATGAGAGTATAAAGGTTTTTTCACTGAGTTAAAATCCTAAATTTGTGTAGGACAATATGAGCTCCTTTTATTCCTTTTTTTGCTCCGTCATTCACTAATGTGTCTCCCGTTTTTCACTTTTACCCTCACACGCAGATACACCTGCACACACGTGCACACACACCATCACACTTGCAGTTTATGTAGATTAGATTCTCTCTTTCTCTGCTTGTCGTTTCACTGGAAAAGTGGCAAATTATGATTCCTGTCAGCGCCGTCTCTCCAGTGCATCCTTTGCCACAAGCAGAGGTACACTGTTGGTGACTCATAGGCCTTTCTCCACAGGGGTGGAATGTTATTATTTGAGGGGAATTAGGGGGTGGAAAGGGATCTTTTCAGACAGAGCCAAACAGCTCATCACTCACATAATCTTTCCTGTGCAGAAACCAACTGTTAAGATAAGGTTACCAGCATTTTGTTACTGTTTCCATAACACAAAGTTGCATTTAGAGACCCTGTTATATTTACCCCTATACTTGAATGAATAAGCTGTGTGGAAGGGTTTTATAATTGCTGAAGTGGGAGAAAAACAAAACTTAAAACAACAGTCAACCAGCTTATAATACCTGATTGTTTACCATTTTCATTCAGGAAGTACGGTGCCAGAGAAACAAAAGCTTTTTATCACACACTCTACCCAGTTTGTAGTGTTGGGGAGGAGACAAATCTTTCCTCTTACAAAAAAAAGAAGAATTTATTGGAATCAACTAAATATTTCATATTAGCTTAACGTAAACATATAGGTTTTAGTAATTAAGTAAATAAAACTTCAAATTTCTAGTTTTTATTTTCAGTCCACTTCAGAACTTAAAATAATAATAGTGACAATTTCATGTGGAAGTTAAGTTCAATTGGCTCAGGTTAGTATGTTTTGTATGTATACAAATCTGTACAGAGATATGATGATGATCCCCTTTTTCCTTCCATGTTAACTCTATGATGCAATGTCAGGCTACTCTCAGAAGTGAATAGTTGTTGATTGAACTTATTATTTTTAGTATAAAAACTCATAAGATGACTTTGGTATGATTGTCCAGCCAAGTTCAGTTAACTCCCATTTTTAAGGCAGAAAAAAACTTCAAATGCTTTACTGTGGACCCTCTTTCAGTACTTCTTGTGGAGTAAAATTAGCTTCCCCAACAACACTGCCTGTGTTAGTGTGAGATAATGTATTGTGGTCTTTTAAATTTAGAGCGGATGTTTTCCCATCTGTACCCACTGCACAGCCAGGTCAGGCTTTGATTTGGTGTAAGTGGTATCATACCCACAGTGGAATCACTGCTTAATGATTGCTGGTTAGGTGTACCACACTCCATTCTTCACCCTGCTGGGTTTTTTTTTTTTTTTTTGCTTTGATGCTTCAATGTATCAATTTGGAGTTTTTTGTCTTTTTCCACAAGGGTTTCATTAAATAAACAAATCAAACCAGAGAATAAATGAATGTCTGCCAAAGAAAAGCACAGTTGTGCTGCCATTTAGCCATTTTCAAGAGTATTTTGAAAGAGATTTTGATCTCAAGGTCCCATGCTGGTTATCCATTTACCACCCACTGTTCTGCCTGTGGAACACTAGTACTATGTAAAGCTTTGCCAGACTGTAAGTACTATCAAAGGTTGCATGAATATGAACATGTAATAGTGATACTCTTTTCTTTTGGGTAATTAGGGATATTTTCTAAAATAAACACAAAATAAACCTTAAGTTTTTAAGTTAATCCAGGGAGAGTGGTGGAAAGTAACTTAATTTCATTTTACTCAAGTGCTGTACTTTGGGACAGTTTTGAGGTATTTTCAGGAGATATAATACTTTTAACTCCACTACATTTATCTTAGGGCTGCACAATGAATCCACATATTATCGCAAAATGGCCATGTGCGATACCCAAATTGCAGAAGCTGCTATTTTTTTGATACAGGTCAAATGTTTGACAAAACAACATTAAATTGAAACACTGTTATACTGCAGAGATGCCCTGGCCTACAAATCTTATTCTCCAGATTTAAGAAGTTTGTCTGGCACAGACCCCCTCAAAAATCACATCATCATGATTTGAATACTTTTTTTCAGTGAAAATTAAATTTGTGATGCAAGAATGATTCGTGCACTAATTGTGAATAATAATAATAATAATAATAATAATACATTTTATTTAAAGGCGCCTCTCTGGGCACTCGATGACACCGTACAACACGTAAAAAATAAAAACAGTAAGAAATAAGAAAAGACAATGTAGATAGTTAAGTGGGGTATGCAGTTCTGAATAGGTGAGTTTTTAGTCTTGATTTGAAGAGTGTGAGAGAGTCCAGGTTCCTGAGCTCCAGTGGGAGTGAGTTCCAGAGTTGGGGGGCAGAGCGACTGAAAGCCCTGCTCCCCATGGTGACGAGGCGGGCGGGAGGGACAGAGAGGTGGACAGAGGAGGCAGATCTGAGGGAACGGGAAGGGGTGGCGATGTGGAGTAGTTTGGACAGATAAGGAGGGGAAAGGTTGTGGATGGCCTTGAACGTAAACAGGAGGATTTTGTTTATGTGGAGTTTGACCGGGAGCCAGTGGAGTTGCTGCAGAACAGGGGTGATGTGGTGGATGGAGAGGGTTCTGGTGATGATAAAGATCATATAACAATATGATGTTTTTACCATATGGTACAGCCCTAATTTATCTTACAGATACTATACTTACAAGACATTTTCTAGGCTAAGATTTTACATAAAAAACATTATAAAATTGTTTTTAAAATTCAACCAACCCATTTTGGCTTCTTATTTCATAGGAAAAAGCCGTTTCTGGATGGGGCTCCTTGTCTCATATCTAATGTCTTTGAGTTGTTAGTATTCCCACCAAAGAGACATTCCCCCTTTAAATGGTATCATTTCAGGGCCAGTTTCACAAATATGTCTTTCACTATTGTCCAGGGACAATGCACAACAGAGCATAGACTTAAAATTGTAGGGTGCCCGGTTAGCCTTGGTAGAGCTGGCGACCAATATACGGAGTTGCTGCAGCAACCCGGGTTCGAATCCGACCTGCGGCCCTTTGCTGTGTGTCATCCCCTCTCTCCCTATCCCCCTTTCCTGTCGATCTTCAGCTGTCTCTATCAAATAAAGGCA